CCCGAATCTTATGCTTTATGCGGGAGATAAACTATTGAAAGTATAATTACATTCCGATCTGAAGTGGATATATTATTAGGTTTGTATGTTCGAATTAGCTCGACTTGAATACGGCGCTGGACTCAGTAATTACTCCCTTTAGGCCTTTTCGTGGCTTCCCTGAAACTACCTCTTTCTGTATGCTTTTTCTCTTTCGTGCAGCTCCCCGTTTGGTATATGTCTGCGAGACATTAGAACCCTATTCAACGTAGGACGTGAATTCTTGATTCCATAGTTCATCCATAGGTGTGTATCCGTGTACTGCCAGTTACCGGACGAATTAAGTCATACCATATCCTGCACTGAGGGTTCGTATGTGAGGACCTTGCTCCTGCTAAATAGATTCCTGTGTATCTGGGCCAAGAAAATCTCGGTCTTGATTTGTATGTAAATGTCGTGGTGGACTTGTGTCTGCGTACCCTACCCAACAGTGCGGTGGGAGCTCAGGATCTGAAAGAGTCGTGGACATGGACGCGGAATGTCCGCCACCTAACTCGTACTCCTGCGAGACTGACAGTGTTGGTGAGTTCCTTGTCTGATATGGTATATCTCTTGTAGCATATGACTGCCCCGAATCGACTCTCGAATAGCCATCAGAGCACAGAGTCTGCGTGGGCTCGTTGCATTGCTCTGGTATTTTCATTAAACTACTCAGTTTGATAATTAGAGAGCCCTTATGTGTACGAGCTTTCCAGCTCCTGATCGCCCGTTGGTACAGCGCTTCGAACTCTATGCGATGAGCTGGGTTGGTGAACCAGTTGTGATTCAGCGCTTGTTTAACATCTATGCGGTTCGCTTCGTCAAACACGAGAAGCCTGCGAACAAAGTCCCTTGCACGTTGTCCGATTTTGTTCCAGTTCATATCAGCTTCGAGTTTCTCAAGTTCGCGCTCTCGAGAAAGGTTTGTCGAATCAGCAGTCAATGAGTTCTTAAATGGTATGTCCCCGGTCAGGAGCACGGCTGCTACACAGCCCAGTGACCACAAATCTACGGCTTTTGTGTAGCCTTGCTTGGACTTGAGCATCTCACTATTTTCAAAGGTTAGCCTCTATAGCTGATACTGCTTGCGTCATACTAACGGGGCGCTGTAGTCGAATGTGCCGATCAGCGTAGACATCCGCTCAACAGTTGGCCGCACAAGTCTGGCACATCCAAAATCGGTGAGTACGACTCTGCATCCATCTGCTAGAGATGTCATAAGGATATTGTCCGGCTTTAGGTCCCGATGGACAATTTCCCGTTGATGCAGATAGCCCAAGGCCATCAGGATCTGTCGCACGATGACTGCGGCTTCAATATCGTCTAATTTTCCACCTTTATATTGTATGTAGGAGAAGAGGTCACCAGCTGTCACGAGTTCTTGGAAGAGGTAACTGTCCAGACTTAGTTGACTCCAAAAGAATGCATCTTAAAACCCACATTGTATCGCTCGATTCGATAACTTTCTCAATACTAATGATATTGGGCTAGTCTTGTCAGGACCGGCAATGGATTTGTGCATACGAAACTTACATGGCAGAGTCTCTCAAGTATTCTGGCCTCACGGCTGTACACGTCAAGCTTCTCCTGAATCTTCTTTTGAAGGGCTTCCTTGAAAGCACGAATAACGAGCAACCTGTTTCCGGTGTGGGGAAATGCGTTTTCTTTAAAGTGCCTAGACTGCTGGTCTTCTGATTCCCTAATAGCCTTGTTCTTCAAAGCTCGGAGGTCGACAATCTTACAGGCGAGTTGCTGGCCGGTGTCCTTATTGAATGCCATATGTACTTGCCCGTAAGCTCCAGATCCCAACTTTTGCGGCGTAACTTTGAACTGGTCTTCAAACACCTGCACATTTGATCAGTGAACACAAAACGACCCGCGTGATATAGGGAGAATCACTCTCATCTCTATCATTTGAAGCATGTCAAAGCAATCTTCGTTTCCCTGTGCAGCGCAATGAAATTGGAGAGAGAGCCTCAGAGACAACTGCAGTACATCACCGTCACTAAGAAGAAAACTTCCCCTGCCCTTTCCCATGGGGTAACCGTTCCATGAAGTTCCATTCCTCGACAAGTCTTGAGCGTATACTAAAGGCGCAACTTCATCGGGGTTTTCTCGGTCAAATATTATTGTGTAGATCCGCAAGTGGGTGTTGGAGATAACTGGGTCGTTCACAACATGGTTACTTGAGCTCAGTCAGTATCGGGAAGTCTCAATGAGAAGAGTAGATGGTAACGTACCACCGCCTTTGATCACGACCGACATATATTTCGGCGTTGCTATATATAGGAAATGAATCGATAGCCCTTTTGAGTTGTGCATCCCACACTGATACAGTACCAACAAGGTGAGCAGGTGTTGACAGGGATGACATGTTACAACCGAGCAGGAGCGTTGGATGGAGCTAGTTGATTACTAGTTGTGTATGTGATAATGTAATATTCCATAAATAACATAGAATTTTGTGAAGGGGGGGGGGGGGGGGGGTATATGAATAAATCCGTAGGAGTCGTTTCTTATTGCCAGAAGGAAGACGCCTCAAGGAAAATAAAGATAAATCTCGTGCATGTCACCTGCTATGGTATCAAATCACGACGTCACAGCACAACCAGGCTTCATATTGTCCTCGATACCACTGCTGGCTCTTTCGTTTACAAATTTGAAAGACAATAACTCTAACTAATATCCTGAAGATATAAGCATACTATTCTCCCGGTCATCCTTTACTTTACTAACACATCCGAATTCGCGTGTATCGGTAGCCTTATTACTCCGTAGTTTCTCTACCTTGGTAGTCAGAGAAAGACAACCTCTCCATGGTTAGCTATAGTCCCCTAATGGCATACATGTTTAGGCGAACATCAGGTTTCCTATATCACCAACAAGTTTAGAGCTAGTCTCGGTCCCATAAACCTCGGTGACCCCAAACAGACTTTTATTCGCAAATACATTCGTCTTTCCCAGAAAAGCTTCAACGGTAGAAACAGTTGTTGCAATCACAGATCAGTACAGGGCAATTCGGAATGTTTCAGAGGGCTCGAATACGGTAGATATACTAAAATCAACCCACATTTCGAAAGGAGTGTCAATATACCACAAAGAAATTGCATTGGCCATTGGATATTAATTCGCCAACAGTGTTCTAACCAACATAGTATGCCATGGGGTCTAGAATAAGTTAAATATAGACCCAGGGATATTCAACTGCCGATCATTATCCAAACTCCTCACGGCAATATAGCCCTACCTCAACAACCCACCAATCATGGTTCTAGACAAGTTCTTCCACTTGTCAAGGCTTTATCCAAAACATCCGTGGAGTCGGAATACTGTATAACATTGAGACAGGACAAGAATGACCACACCACAATATCTGCCGATATGAAACTAGTGTGCCCCTGACCGGAGCTTAGCTGCACCATGACCCGCGGGCTAATCCACCGCCAGTTTCAGGATATTAAGGAATGAAACTACCGACTCACATTGACGGAGAAATTATGTAGATCTAAACCCTTCCACGGGCCTTCTTCGGATCAGCCCGTCTACCATATAAAGGCAGATAAACCACAGGGTGCAAACTTTACTTCTCCATCCTCTCACTCCATACGCAAAAGAAACCAGTTCATCACAAGTTCAACATCGAAAATGCGTGGTCTCAGAAGTCTTGCCTCCCTCGCCGTTCTTGGTTTGGCCAGTGCCCAGGATACCATCGTCTTCGGCCCTGCGTTCTCCCTCGGCCCTACCAAGTCATGGATCCGTGAAGCGACTACTACGCTGGTGTTGCCTGAAGCACCAAGCCCTCAGGAGGATCGTCTTGCACTCTGGCCGGGAATGGGCACCAGCGGTGGTGATCTGATCCAGGCTCTCGCCGTCTCTTTCTCGGACCCTGCAGCGTAAGTACTTGGGCTGAAACCCAATTTGCTCTACTGCAGCTCAAGTCACACATGCTAATCGATTCTCATGCAGAAACTGCGGCGCTAGCTCCGGTCAATGGTGCACCTGGGCAAGCACTCTTCAAGGTAAAGGATGCGAATAAGCAGATATAGAAGTGCATATTGCTGACGGAGAACAGGAACCCAACTAGGTGGAAAGCAAGTTCCGGCCTCTGCAGGCGACAAGCTTGTCATGCATTGTAAGTCACCCTGCGCTCGCACCGTTGTTTGCTCGCAACCTTCAAGCTAATCAACGATCATTTAGATAAGTACAACGATAGTACCGGCAAATATGACCAGACAGTATCCATCAATGGCGAAGTCGTCTCGAGTCTCTCAACAAGTAAGTTATTAATCCCTATTCCTTCATCATCGCACTTACTGATGCCGTGAAGGCTCTGGCCAGGCCCAAGGATGGGGTACTGCCGTTGAGGCCCAGGACAACGCCTCCAAGAGCACTGTTGCTGCGCACCGTAAGTACTACCATAGCGTCTTCCAAAGGAAAGATAACTAACCCGCTGTGCAGAGTACCTTGATACTACCATCATCCTCGATTCCGCTGACCTCACCTTTCGTGATACCCTCGGCCTCACCGATGCTGACTCCACTGGCTTGACGACTTCTGACAATGGCAAGACCTGGAAGGTGACTACCATCAACATTCATAAGCACTCTTTCTAAGCCTTGAAAGGACGCTGTATATATGTACCAAAGGACCTTTTTAGCGCTCCTCTGTATATTCTTGTTGTCGTTCTGCTCTTGATATATTGTACATAGATATGACAGAAGGTGTGGCTTTCTTTAGACAAGGATATAAATTTTTACTCCGGTAATGATTTATTGCGACCAGGCTTATTTGGTGGTCATGAGTGAGGTAATGCAACCACTATTTCTTATACAATGTGTCAACATTTACATCTAGGAAAGAAGAGTACTTCTCTTTATTCATCTCTATCATTGGTAAAAAATCGGTATACCTTTTTATGTTGCACATCGTGTCCAAGAATAAGACCTGGCTCATTCTGTCTATCAATTGCAGCCGATAAGTGCTCATTGCTTGCTTTGCATCCGCTTAATACGTTCTTCAGCTGCCCGTGCCCGACGCTCTCTCTCCAACCGCATCCTCATTTCTGGCGTCATGCCACGCACCTCTTCCTCTCTTTTCTCGGAGGCCGTCTTCTCTACGGATCCTAAGGCTCTACCACCCGAACGCTTTGCTTGTAAAGCTTCCTTGGCGGCATCCTCCATCTTCAAGCGGTGTAATTCAGCTTTGCGTCGATTTTTCTCCTCTTCCTCTGCAGTTTTTCGCTCCCTTTCAGCCCTGCTGTCGACGTCGGCTTTTGAAATTGCCGATGGCACCTTGGCTGCATCCCAATTCCATTTCGACTCGCCAAGTTCGTGACGAGCGACGCGGAAGGCATCACGTGTGGCCCGGTCACCTGCAAGCTCGAAGGGTGTTCTCCCTTCGCCATTGGTGGTTGTTGGATCTGCCTCCGCTTTGGTAAGAAGGGCGGAAATCATTGCTGGCGAATTAAGGTTTGAAGCGAGATGAAGAGCAGTAGGACAACGGAAGTTCTGCTGAGAATCTGAGGGATGGAATGTGAAGGAAGAGGGAATCGAGTTCTTAAAGAGATAGGACATCAATGCTGGGATTTTGGAGCGGCGGATGAGTGCCTGTATTTGGGTTGTATGAAGCATAGCAGCTTCGTCCTCCTTGGATACTTTCGGCTTTTGCTGTTGAGGCCGGGGAGTAGATGGCTTTGATGTTTCTTCGCGTTGTTTGGCCTCAGCTGCTGCAAGGGCGGCTTCATCGATCTGACTCACTTTCACGCGAGTCAGTTCCTTGAAGCATCTCATGAGTTCTCCCTGAGTAGCGCGGCGTGTGCTGAAGGGAAACCCTCTCAGCCTAGGATCGTTCTGTCTCAGAACTTGGCCATCGTACTGGCCGAACAAAATCCGCCGGTTTGTGCTGCCTGTGGCACGAACAAATAGCAATTGGGCATCATCGATCATTTTCCTCCATTCTGATAACAGTTCTCTAATCTCTTTCTCCAGCGCAGCCTCGTTGTAACGCCTTAGGCTAGAACCAGCTGAATGTGCAGCTCCTCTAGCAGCATCGCTGGCGGATTGCGATCCTCCCTGTTTTCGCCTAGTTGTATAACGATGGAAAGTCTTGTGCGCAATCACTCGTGCCTGCCTCTCTTCCACGCCCCCTTGTTTGCGATGAATCTCAGGGGCCAGGGAAACGATCATTGCCGCAAAGTGACCACCACCAATCATGCACAGGAATACATGTGGGCTAGATGATGCAGAAGGCCCCTGAGCCCGACTATTATTCCGTGGCGTGTTGATGGGAGCTTGTTGTTTCTTCTGGAGAGAATCAACAAGGTATCTAGGCTCTTCCTGTTCAGCATCTGAGAACAAAGCCCTATATACACCTAACGAAGTGTTGGAAGGTAGAAGGGAGCTCGAAAGCCAGAATAAAGGATTCTTTCCAGTCCGCTTCTTCGATGGCGCATCCTCCTCTTCACCTGTTTGCGAGATCTTCGCTTGCCTTTTCAACAAGGCAGTGAGCTGCGTCCCGTCATCTTCGTCCTCTTCCGATGACGACTCGGATCCAGAAATCGATTCATCCAGCTCCCCAACCGCCTTATTGAACTCAACCTCGTTCAATGTGGAATTGCCTCGAAGTTGGGCCTTAAGGTTGTATCGATGGTGATCTGAACGGACGTGGCCCCGCTGCTCTTGGACATTCAAGAAAGACACATTGCAGAGATTGCATGAGGCAGATGTCGCAACCGCGTATTCTTGTGCAGTATCTTCGGACCTTTCAGGGGTATTAACTGCATTATCTGATGTATTTATCGCATCGTCCTCGCTTTTGGCGCTTAATGTTGCGAGTAGTTCCTGCGGAAGATCATACACTTAAACTGGGAGTCAGTGACGGAACTATATGCAAAACAGAAGGCGCAGCACGGAACGAAGTCAAAATAAATACGGACCATACAGCGGCCTCTTTAGGAGCTCTTCCGCGATAGAAGCTTCCGTGGCCATATTGACTGAATTATGTACAAGCGATGAGTTGCGCCGATGAAATCGCAGAGTGCAATGCGACGGCAGAACAAATGCCCCTCTTGGTGGAGCTTTACCGCCTTTAAGGCACCGATACAGAATATTTAAGTACAATATGCAATCTGCGACCATTGAAATGTGACGTAAAGTTCGATCCACAAGTGCAAGTTTGAGTCACAGTGACTCAATCGGAGTCAATCCACTATCTCTATTTCTATTATTGGCTCGCCAATTTTTATAGGTTACTGAGAGTATGTACTAAACTTTTATGAATCTGTCTTGGCCCGCTTATTTTTACTCCTCAGCTTTTTTTACGGAATTGATGGGTATAGCAATATAGTCTCTCACTTAACATATTGTAGTCCATGGTTAATCCGATCCATTTATAATAGCATCACATTGCCCCTAGTCGAAGTAGGATTTTCAATTAACTATATGTTGTTGGATACAGTTGTTATGCATGGTGATTATCAGGTCCCCATAGCGTGTACCTAGTACTACCTAGAGCTCTTCAAGCCTTGAATTCTGAAAGACAATTTGGCGAAAGGTTTACATCCTTTTATTATTCAATTGTTCTCCAGAACCCAAAATAGTGCGTAAACATTTTACACTAGATGAGAATATCTTAAAGATCCTTGTTTCAATCTCATATCAGGCGAAGTAGAGATAGAACTGATACTCGTGAGATATATATCCAGCAGCCTGTCATAGTGAACCGGGATTCTGGGCTTATTACTGAGATACACCAATTGGCTAACTTGAGGTTCATGATCAGCCAAGTCAGCTATCAATTGCCATATTCCCATCAGCTCGATCGTCATAGTCTAGACAACTTTATCCTCCATAGGTACTCAAGTCTTTGTTCTGAATATCATTGATGGATGTGGTAAATAATGCCGAGCACTGTTGATGAGACCAATTACGCTTTGCCGATTCAGGCTTAGTCTGTCATCGTGCTGCTTGCTTACTCCGTAATCAATTTCCATTTGCAGCCTCTTCGTATTCGTTCATAGTCGGCAATTGCGATTCGTAAGCAAACCCCCTCTGTTTCGCACCCGGACATGAATGGCTTACCCCGGAAAAATTACTGGCCTACGATTGGAATTCTAGAATGGCTGATTCTTAAGATTTTGAGTCACCTCATGACGTATGGGAAGCCTTGAAGATGCCAAGACATGCAATGGCGCCGGCTTATGTCATAAGCACCGAACGCAAATGTCACGCTTCAGGACGAAAAGTAAGCAAGGGAGCAAGAACCTCGAGATTGAAGGAGAGAAAATCTCTTTACGAATCCACTCCAATGACTAGACTGCAATGGTCATAGGGGGAGAAATAGTAAGATAAGCTAGGCGGAATTCCGCATCTCCGGCAAAGGTCCTATCGGTTTATCGCCGAAGCTAAGGCTGTCTCATTTAGTAAGCAACTTGCAGCTCTCAAGAGGATTGGCCTCGCAGTTATCATCCTTGATCAGAAAGTTCTCTCCACCCGCAATCACCTCCATCATTTGCGTGAAAGCACCCCGGGAGTTTTTCTGACTCCCTTTTCCTTCCTTCTCGTGGGTTGAAAGGAATAGGGATTCTGCAGTTGGGGTTAGAAGATGCTTGATGGCACCTCCCAGACGTTCCTCGGGGATCCTGCCCCGGGAGCGTCAACCCTGAAGTCCCCATTGCAACCGCCCAAAGTAGAGCCTTTTTGCGGCGATGTCGAAGGATGGGGGCCCTTAAGCAAACTCAGGTTTGACCTGACGCCCTGCTTCTTAGATCTTGGCGTGGCTATTATTGCAGTATGGGGCTTAATCTTGGGAGCAGGTGCCATTTGGTTTCTGCTCAAAAAGCGAATTCCTCAACCAGTGTCAAAGAATTGGCATTTTTACGCTAAACTGGTTGGTTTTGGAACCCTTTTGGATCAAGTTATCTGGGGCTAACCTAACGTTGAAAATAGATCGTGCTATCCGCTTTGATCTTCACAACGGCGCTTCAAGCAGCGATTCAGGTCGAAACTTTTGCGGATAACTGGCTGGCTGACGTTCGGTTTTGGAGTTCGATCGTTGTGTTTGTTTCCCTGTGTGTGATATTTACAGTCCAATACTATGAGCATTGGCGGAGCAGGCAACCCAACGGTGTCGTTCTCTTCTACTGGCTTTTCTTTACCATCGCCTATGGAATTAAGTTGCGCTCGCTTGTTGCACGAAAGACCTATGAGGACAACCTGCCATATTTCGTTTGCTTCAACATAAGCCTGGGACTTGCGCTACTGGAGTTTGGACTGGAATACCTCGTTCCCAAGAAGCAGAGCGCCTACGATGCTCTGGGCGACGAAGATGAATGTCCCTATGAGTATGCAGACATATTTTCGGTGCTCAGCTTCAGCTGGATGACACCAATGATGAAGTTTGGCTATAAGAATTTCCTGACCCAAGATGATCTGTGGAACCTTCGACGCCGTGATACGACTCGTGCCACGGGGGAAACATTGGCGGAAAACTGGGAACAGGAACTGCAAAAGGACAAACCTTCTTTGTGGATCGCACTCTTCAAGTCCTTTGGTGGCTCATACACCAGAGGTGCGATCATTAAATGCGGAAGTGATATCCTTGCCTTTGTCCAGCCTCAGCTTCTACGAGTTCTGATTGACTTCATCAGCTCGTATCAAACCGACAACCCCCAGCCAATTATACGGGGTGTTGCTATTGCCCTGGCGATGTTCTTTGTCTCGGTATCGCAAACAATGTGTCTTCATCAATATTTCCAGAGAGCCTTTGACACTGGTATGCGTGTAAAGTCCTCGTTGACGGCAATGATCTATGCCAAGTCGCTTCGGCTTTCAAGCGAGGGCCGTACATCGAAGACTACCGGCGATATTGTCAACCATATGGCTGTGGACCAGCAGCGTTTATCCGATCTGACTCAATTTGGTACACAGCTGTGGTCGGCGCCGTTCCAAATCACCCTGTGCATGATATCGCTCTACCAGCTCGTCGGCGTGAGCATGTTCGCCGGTATCGGCGTCATGATTCTTATGATCCCCTTGAATGGAGTGATAGCTCGGATGATGAAAAAGCTCCAGCTCATCCAGATGAAGAATAAAGATTCAAGGTCGAGGCTAATGACCGAGATTTTGAACAACATCAAGAGTATCAAACTTTATGCCTGGAACACTGCCTTTATGAATAAGCTTAGTCACATCCGTAACGACTTGGAATTGAACACCCTTCGCAAGATCGGAGCGACGCAGTCGATTGCAAACTTTACATGGCAGTCGACCCCCTTCCTTGTCTCCTGCTCTACATTTACTGTCTTTGCTTTGACGGACCCCCGGCCTCTGACCACTTCAGTGGTATTCCCCGCTCTGACGCTTTTCAACCTCCTTACTTTCCCACTCTCCATTCTGCCTATGGTCATCACATCGATTATTGAGGCTTCCGTGGCTGTTAAGCGTTTGACTGAATATTTCACCGCCGAGGAATTACAGACCAATGCGGTCAAGCGCGAGGACCCTGTGTCTCATGTCGGGGATGAGTCTGTACGGATTCGTGATGCGTCGTTCACCTGGAACAGATACGATGGCACTCACGTTGTGGAGAACATCAATTTCAGCGCTCGTAAGGGTGAACTAAGTTGTATAGTAGGCCGCGTCGGCGCTGGGAAATCATCTCTCCTCCAGTCACTTTTGGGCGATTTGTGGAGAACGGAAGGAGAAGTCATTATCCGTGGCCGTATCGCATACGTCGCACAGTCACCTTGGGTGATGAACGCTAGTGTCCGAGAGAACATTGTCTTCGGGCATCGGTGGGATCCTGACTTTTACGAGCTCACCGTTGAAGCTTGCGCCTTGCTGGATGATTTTAAGAACCTGCCGGATGGAGATCAAACCGAAGTTGGAGAAAGGGGCATCTCGCTCTCCGGCGGACAGAAGGCTCGGTTAACCTTGGCTAGAGCAGTCTATGCTCGTGCAGACATCTACCTTCTCGACGACGTTCTATCAGCAGTTGATCAGCACGTGGGCCGGCACCTTATCAACAAAGTCCTTGGACCAAGTGGAATTCTCGGTAGCAAGACTAGAATCCTTGCGACCAATGCCATTCCCGTTTTGAAGGAGGCGGATTTCATCGGGTTGCTACGAGACAAGACTTTGGTTGAAAAGGGCACCTATGAACAGCTGCTGGCTATGAAGGGCGAAGTTGCTAATCTCATTCGTACCACTATGAACGACTCGGACGATGATAACTCGAGTGACAATGGTCTTGCTAGTCCCGGAAGCTCGGACTCTACCACGATAATTGACAACGCAGACTCCGATGAGCTTTCGGACACCGACGAAGCCGAACAGGAAATTGGTTCACTCCTGCCCATCAGATCTGGTGCCAACCGGAGAACAAGTACTGTGACTTTGCGACGCGCCAGTACCGTTAGCTGGAAAGGCCCTAGGCGCAAGTTAGGAGACGAGGAGAATGCCTTGAAGAGCAAACAAACTCAGGAAACCTCACAGCAAGGCAAGGTCAAGTGGAGTGTCTATGTGGAATATGCCAAGAACAGCAATATCGTCGCCGTCTGCTTTTACCTTGCTGCTCTGTTGGGTGCACAAACAGCACAGGTTGCTGGCAGCTACTGGCTCAAATATTGGTCAGAGGCTAGCGAAGTGCAAGCGAACCCCAATGTTGGCAAATTCATCGGCGTCTACCTAGCTTTTGGACTAGGATCGTCTATCCTAGTTATAGTCCAAAACCTCATTCTATGGATCTTCTGCTCAATTGAAGTACGTTTACCCTTAGCTCTCTGGTTAATGCAGATCGTGACCATATTGATGAACATTAACAGGCATCTCGGAAACTACATGAGAGGATGGCATTCGCAATCTTCCGATCACCCATGAGCTTTTTTGAAACCACGCCGTCTGGAAGAATCCTTAATAGGTTTTCAAGGTGAGAGAGAGTGTGTGGCTGACACGTTGTTTACGGAAACTGATAGATCTTGGTATAGCGA